CTTTTTCTGTTATTAAACTAAGTATGTCTTGTATGTATAGATCTCTCTTATTTTGTATAAAGCCATATAAGACTACATTGAATAGATATACCATAGTTTATTTCAGAAAGCTTATTGATGGAGGAATCTATAGGTGGACACTCCCCTCCTTTTCTTATTTTTTGATACTATAAATAAGGACCAGATACTTTCTTAAAGGATTTTCCACAAAGTTAACCTCTATAATATGAATTATGACTATGAGAAGATGTTACTTAGTTTAATAACAGAAAAAGCTATTTTAAAAATTTTATAAAAAGCTTTTTAAAATGCCTTCAAGTTTTAATAGCTTCCCTGTGGTTTGCTTCCCGTGTGGGTCATGTGCTGTATCAATAAGTCTGTAAGCTCCTTGAGAGTACGCATTCCTTTTGCATCTCCTCAAATTCACACACTGTAGCGGGCATAAAATAGAAAATAAATATTTGTTAAATTAGCTTCATTTGTTATTAATAAATTGGAGGTGAGATTTCTTTTTAATAATGTCTGTTTATATGCATAGAATGTCTTTAAAGACAGTTTTATCAGTGATTTCAGTGATATGACAGTTATTATTTGTTTGTTTGTTTGTTTTGTCCTTTTTGAGACCGGCTGCACTGCGCTCAGCCAGTGAGCGCAGTGAGTGCACCAGTCATCCCTACATAGGATCAGGGAGTGCTGCTGCGCTCCCAGCACTGCACTCTCCCAAGTGCGCCACGGGCTCGGCCCATTATTATTCTTAACATTTAGATTGACTGTATCTGAAAGTGTATAAAAAGCTTTTTAAAATGCCTTCAAGTTTTAATAGCTTCCCTGTGGTTTGCTTCCCGTGCGGGTCATGTGCTGTATCAATAAGTCTGTAAGCTCCTTGAGAGTACGTATTCCTTTTGCATCTCCTCAAATTCACACACTGTAGTGGGCATAAAATAGAAAATAAATATTTGTTAAATTACCTTCATTTGTTATTAATAAATTGGAGGTGAGATTTTTTTTTAATAATGTCTGTTTATATGCATAGAATGTCTTTAAAGACAGTTTTATCAGTGATTTCAGTGATATGACAGTTATTATTTGTTTGTTTGTTTGTTTGTTTGTTTTGTCCTTTTTGAGACTGGCTGCACCGCGCTCAGCCAGTGAGCGCTGTGAGCGCACCAGTCATCCCTATATAGGATCCGGGAGTGCTGCTGCGCTCCCAGCACTGCACTCTCCCGAGTGCGCCACGGGCTTGGCCCATTATTATTCTTAACATTTAGATTGACTGTATCTGAAAGTGAATTTTTTTTTCCTTTTTGTCTTTTTTCGTGACCGGCAACGGATCGCAACCCTCAGTGTCACGCCCGGACTGGACAGGGACCGGCAACGGGATCGCAACCCTCGGTGTTGTGCTCGCCCCTCGCTCAGCCAGTGAGCGGCCGGTCTGTCTGTACGTGGGATCCGAACCCTCGGCGGGAGCGCCGCTGCGCTCCCAAGTGGCGCACTGTAGCAGTGCGCCACCGGGCTGGCCGGCCCCTGAAAGTGAATTTTTAAAAAATTGCTTTATTGTATGTTTATGATTATTATATACTTCATAGATGGTATGGAAATTATAGATCAGTCAAAAAAAAGTTATAGAGGGCCGAGCCCGTGGCACACTCGGGAGAGTGCGGCACCGGGAGCTCAGCGATGCTCCCGCCGCAGGTTCCGATCCTATATAGGAATGGCCGGTGCGCTCACTGGCTAAGCGCAGTGCGGGCGACACCACACCAAGGGTTGCGATCCCCTTACCAGTCATGAAAAAGACAAAAAAAAAAAAAAGTTATAGAAAAAAGAAAAGAAAGTGACCTATAGGTCCACTCCCCAGAGACCACCACTGTGGCTCTTATGATGCACTCTCCTCCATGACCGTGTTAAGTGCTGACTCTTGCTCAATACTAAGTGAATACCCTCGAATCATTTCTCACTCACTTTGGGTTGGTGGATTGTTTTGCCCTAGAAGTGAGCTTCCGGCTTTGATGGTATCTTGGCTCCCCTCTCCCTCTCTTCCCTAGTTCTCTTTGCCATGAAGGAGGACAATGAGAAGGTGCCTACTTTGCTAACAGACTACATTCTAAAAGGTAAGAGCAGCACCAGGCCTCCTGCAGAAGTGGTCCTCGAAGCTTTCCCAGAACATCCAAGCCAGACCAGACTTGGGGCCAAGCAGGGTCCGGGGAAATCAAGTGGACAATTGTGGGCCAGCACAGTCATGGGTTTTTTGCCTTTGGATGTTGCTAGGAGGCCTGAGAAAGAGATTCCATCACCCCCGAGTCATCCGTGTGACTCCACTGTGGAGCAGGAAACCCACAAAGGACTCATTGTGAAAATTCTGTGGAGTTTGGGCTATTTAGTATTTAGTTGGGAAAAACAAAGCCTGAAGATAATTTAATACTTCCCAAGTCCTTGAAAGGAAACTGGAATCATGATTAACTACATCCTTTCATAACTTTTTAAAAACCTTTTATTATGGAAACTTTTAACACATGAAAAATAGAGTGAATGGTATAATAAACTCTCATGTACTTGTTATCCAGCTTCAACAATTATTAACTCATGGTCAGTCTTATTTCATTTATATCCCTATCCAACTTCTCCCCTCCCACATTATTTTGAGGCAAATCTCTTCATACTTTTTAATTCATAAATATTTCAGTATGCATTTCTACAATGTACTAACTCATGGTCAGTCTTATTTCATTTATATCCCTATCCAACTTCTCCCCTCCCACATTATTCTGAGGCAAATCTCTTCATATTTTTTAATTCATAAATATTTCAGTATGCATTTCTACAATGTACGGATTCTTTAGAAAAACACAGCCACAATACTATTATCACAAGTAAAATAATTTAAGAATTTCTTAGTATCATTGACTACTTAATCAGTGTTCAGATTTCCCTGATTTTCCCATAAAATGTTTTTCAGTTTATTTGTTTGAATCACGATCCAATGAAAGTCCATACATTGCAATTGAATAATATGTCTGTTAGGTCTCTCTTAATATCTATAGGTCCACCTTTCCTTTCTCTTTTCCCTTTCTTGAAATCTATTTGTTGGAGAAACTAGGTTGTTTGTCCTGTAGAATTTCCTCATTCTTGGGTTTTGCTAAATTCATCCCCATAGTATGATTTGATATGTTCTTCCATCTCCTTTATTTCTTGTGAACTGATAGAACTAGAGGCTTGATCAGATTTTTTGATAAGCACTACATTACGGGTGGTTGTAGATTTCAATGAGGAGACATATATTTGTATGGTCTGGTTATCTTTTTTTGTGGGTGTGTGATGTTAATAGCCATTAATGATCACTCATTGTCTAGATCCATTATTTTATTAGTTTTGCTGTATGTGTACACAAAATTTTGTACAGTTTCAGAAGGTTTGTGGAACCTTCTGAAACTGTTAAGAAACCCTGAGGTATATAGTTTCTATAGGGATCAGAGAGATTAACCTTACATTTTGGCACGAAGAATTTAAGTTACACATTAGAACTTGTGACTTTTATAGGTTTTAGGAGAGCAGCAAATTTCTCAAAGGAGGTTTTCAAAGGGGGTTTGTAGAAATGGGTTATATAAGTTTGGTAGTCTGAGGGCTAGCCTTAACCCCTCATGATCCACTGAAATGTCAGTGAATTTATAAAAGTAGTTAGTATTTACTGATCACTTTCTACATGCCTCTCAACAACCCTGTGGGGTAGGCACAGGTACATTCTATTAGATGAAGATCAAGCACAGAGAGGCGAAGTAGCTTCCCTAAGGTCAAAGAGTTAGTAATGGCCAGATCCAGGATCGGAACGTGGGCAGACAGGCCCTGGAGACCACACGCTCAGTCATTATGCCGAAGGACCCTCCATCACTACGTTTCTTCTGGAAGGAAGACACATGAATGCAGTTACTCCCTGGTTCTGGAGGGAGTTCCCTGCTCAGGAGCCAGCATGACCCGCAACTGTGCTCTGACCTGTCTCCTCTCCTCTTCTCATTTCAGTGCTCTGTCCTACCTAACCGTGCCCTTTGGAGCAGCCTTGCTGCAGGAGGTCACTGAGCAAGAGTCATTCCATCACAGGGACTGCATGGCACCATGTAACCTCCGACGTGTATTTAAAAATGTATAGCTTAACATGGATTAAACATGAGCAAATGCGTGGGCTCCTTTGCCGTTGGCTTCTAGTGCTAGTAATCATTGGATGCATGATCGGTGGGCAGGGCCGGTGACGTTGCCTCATCTCCCCCTGTGTTGGGGGAAGGCAGATGCTGTCACAGCTCATTATGTAGTCTGGCTCCAGGCCCTCAAAAACAGCTTACACTTTAAGACTAATTTTGAAATAAACCTTCATTTAATTAATATTCTCCGTGTGCTTTGGAGTGTGGTGTCCGTTGGCTGTCTGTTCCAAACCCTCTAGAGAAAGAATGTCTGGCTGCCTTCACTTGCTGTCTGGAGGCCCATGGCAGCCAGCACAGTGTTTAGGGACCAGGAGCATGCCCTGTTGTGGGTCGTGGTGGGATTGTGGGATGCAGTGGGGCTGCATATGGTACAGACAAAAGGAAGAGGCCATTCATAGACTCCTAAGTTTTTTCCTGCTTGGCCCCATTAAATGGAGCTGCACATGGATTGTAGAAAATAGCTGGCCAGAGCAGGTGTCAGCGTATGGGGGGAGAGTGTGAAGTTAGCAGACAGAAAGTGAGTGTCAAGGAGGAGCCGGGCAGCTGCAGTGCCTCCTGTTGGGATGGCCAGATGGACTCCTGAAGGCTCTCACTAGGCCCTACACAGGGACTGTGAGGCTCAGGGCTACAGGGAGCCAGCTCTGCTGAGTTCCTACAACATGGGGGATTGTGGCTTCTTTCCTGCACTTAGAGAGGCCACCACTCCCCATCTGCCCCCAACAACCCCTGTGAACAGTATCCTATGACTTTGCATGCCCTCCCCTGCCCTTCCTGCAGCCTTAAAGGTCCAGCAGCTCCGACTCTTGTGCCCTGTCTTCAGCATGGATAATAGGCAGCTGCCAGCCTGACTGACTAGCAGGCAGACACTGTCCTCAGATCCTGGATGCTGGCTTGATTTCACTGTCACCTGAGTTCCGTTGGCTTCCATCTCCTGGCTTGAATGATATTAACCCTGACAATTCCCATACCCCACCTCTTAAAACAAAAAACTTTCATTGGGCACTAGCTATGCACCTGCCACTGGCCTTATCACTCTCTAAACATGATCCATATCACAGCAACTGTATGTGTAACTAGGTACCAGTGTTATCCTGATTTTCCAGAGGATACCAAGAAGCTGGCCCAAGGCCACCTAGGAAGTGATAGAGTCAGACTGGCCCTTAGGTCTCTTATCCAATTAGACTTGCACTGATTCTTAGTGTTTGCTGGGAAAAACATACTCTATCACATTAGCAACTCTGCAGAAGTTCACAGGATCGACTTAGGTGACAATAGAAGGCATCCTTGGTGCCCTGCCTCACTTCCTGGTCCTCTGCTTTTCTAGAAGCAGAACAATAGCAATCTTACCTTGGGGTAATGGGGACTTACCCCACCAGCGAAAGCTCCCTAGTGCCTGCCGCTCTAACTTGGGCATCTGCGCAGAACAGAACTTCTACGCAGATACAGCCCTGGCTGCTATGAAGATGGAAGTGACCATAAGGTCCCCATTCAAATCCTCAGAGTCATAACTTGGGCATCTGCGCAGAACAGAACTTCTACGCAGATACAGCCCTGGCTGCTATGAAGACGGAAGTGACCATAAGGTCCCCATGCAAATCCTCAGGGTCAAAAATTGACATAAAAGTTCTTTGTCAAAAAGGGATGACTTCAGTTCTGCAATTCATTGGTGCTAAGGCTAAAGATGCACAGGGTCACTGGTGGTGTGAGGTCGTTAGCAAGTTTAACACTTTGCCAGCCCCAGCGTTTTTCAGCAATCTCAGCAAAGAGGAAGCAGTGAATCCCCAAGAGCTTTTCTTCCTGCCTTGGATTTGTCAGATCTGGGTCAACCACTCCTTTCCCCCAATTTATCCTGCCAGCAGGTGTCTGAAGCAGCAGAGACAAGCTAATCAAAGCTGCTGGCAGTTAAAAATAAATCTCAAGTGTCAGGGATACACTCAGTCTAGTGGAAGGTGAGCAGGGAAGGGTGAGGACAGTGGCTCCTCCTTTCCCCTCCTTTTGTCCATGTCAGGAGTTTAGAGGGAATGTGACAATTCTGCGGGGTTTTTCATTGCCCTTCCCTCCATCCTTGCTGCTCAAAGTGCGGTTTCCAGACCAGCAGCATTGACCATACCTAGGAGCTTGTTAGAAATGCAAAATCTCAGCCCTGCCCCAGAACTTCTGAGTCAGAATCTGCATTTTAACAAGATCTCCCTGCGATTGGTATTTGCATTGAGGTTTGGAGAAGCTCTGCTCTAGGTTTTCAGGGTTGCCGGAGCCCTGACTCTCTGAGACTGAACCTGACTGAGTAAGGTGTGGAGAGTGTGATTAACAGGTGATCCCAATTCTCTTCCCTCAGCTTTCCTCTCTTTTCTCATCTTTCTGGTTGTAGTCACATCAGGGAAGAGTCTGAAGGGCAAAAATGCTGTTCAGCCTCCAATCAGCCATGGCTGCAAGACTCAGATCCAGTCTAAGATGTGTGCACTCAGCAAGGAGGACTGGAGAGCCAAGGTCTGCAGGGCACCCCAATAGATAGGTGGAGGTCGGCCTGGCTAGCAGGTCCTTTAACTAAGATGCATTCACATCAATGAAAGGATTTTGCTAAGTCTAGTCTGATCAAGTCCAGGTAAGAAAACTCCACCATAGAGCCAGAGGCCAGCCTTTATTTATGTAGAGTTAAAACAAATGATCACGGGGGACAAACCACTTTCCAAATGGACTATCTTCATGACCCCTGTCCTTTATTTCAGAATGGGAGACATGTGACACCTCAGACAACTCAAAGGAAAGGATTTTGTGGCCCTAATGATTGTGTGACAAATTGGGTTTTTACAATTAAATAATCCCTTTTCACACTCACTGGAATAATGTCTGGAATATTATTATCTTCATTTAGTGGTCAGGAAAGAAGATGTGGAGACTATCAATAAGAGGGCTTAGGATGAATTACGACCCAAGTCCTAGTGGACTTGACTGAGTCCATTCCATGAGCTTTGTTTGAGTGCTCACTATGTCCTAGGCACTCCCACCACAGCCCAGTCACTGAGTGTGTCGTGGGTCTCACCAGAGGTCAAAAGCAGGGAGCACCCCAGGCGCCCTGCTTTCCTTGCAGCAGAAGCAAGAAATGGGGAGAGGCAGCTTCGTTCCCACAGGAACCCGAAGAGGTGAGTCTCATCAACGTGCCAGCCTCCGTGATTAGCATGCGCAGGGAGGAGAGTAATTAAATGCTATGCTTGGAGAAGAGATGCTGGCATTCTTGATGGCTCCTGATTATTTCTTTGAGAGGATGAGAGAATAGTCGCTAGGATTTCTGTCTGAGCCTGAGGTCTGCTCTCTTCCCTTCCTGAGAGAGGGGAAGCGGAGGCCACTCTGCTGACCGGGAAGGTGCTCTGGCTCCGTATTAATGCCTTTCTTCTGAAAGAACAATGAGCCACCTCAGCCTACAGCCCAGCAGCTCCACACCCTGCCCAAGCCCTCATGCATATTCATCCTGCTTCAAAGAGCACAGCATGGAACATGCAAATTGGCCAGGCAGGAGCTGGTTGGCATTTTGATCATAGCTTTGTCTGAAAAGCCCCAGAGACACATGCACGTTTAGGCTATCTCTCTCTCTCCCTCTCTCTCTTCTCTGCCCTCACATCCCTTTCCTCACTCTCTTCTACTCCCATCCTGCAGAGAACAGGAAAATAAATCACAGAACCTAAGAAGCAAGTTAGTGGAGAAGCCAGGTGTGTTACAGTCCAGTGTATTTATACTTCATCTGCTCTCCCTCCTCCTTGAATAGAGTCATTTTGTGTTTTCCGACCAACGTGTTGCCCGATCTGACAATGCCCGAGGCCCCTGGCCTGTCCTCTGCTATCAGTTGACCCCATCACTCTTGGCTGGGGACCATTCTTTTCCATCCCTCCCAGAGATTAGCTCCCTTCCCTTTGCCCTTCTTCCTCCATCTTCCAACCTGTTTTTGCCCTTACTGTCAGCAGTCAAGCCTAAAAATCTACAAACCTGGCCTTGCCTACACAGGCCAGAAGCAGAGAAGCCTTGGATGTCATCTGTGACCACTGACATATCACTTGGACTCAACAGTTCCTGACACACGATCTCTAAAACACATCTGCACAACCATTAGCAACAGCACAATGGACTGTGCTACTGTCCACTCCTTTAACCACTGACCCCTCCCGTAGCAGAGCTCCTAGAGAAATGTGCAGAGCAATTCCTTAAGCTCAGAGGACACAGGTTCTGTCCCCTTCACCCCAGAAATGAAGACGGTTCAAGCTAGGAGCTGCTGTGGGAGAGGCAGGCCAAGGTTTGGCTCCCACATCTTTGAATGCTGTTCCATCTGGGGACCTTGGAGGAGAAAAGCAAAGGCAGGTGCAGGGCTGCAGGCACCTCTGGGATTTCAGGGAAGAGGGGCCTTTTCCTCTGACTCTGAAGGCCAGCCTGGTTGAGCCAAAGCTTAGGCTGGCACATTATCTCATAGAAGGAGCATGGGTTTTGGCCTTGGGTTTAAATCCCAGCTCTACTACATATTAAGCCAAATAATTTTTGAGAAAATGACAATTTCTCTGATCCTCTGTTTCCTCGTTTTAAAAATGGGAATACTAATATTAATAATACTAGTAATTCTTCCAGGATTGTTTTGAGTAATCTTTAGCATTTAGCATATATACTAAGTACTCAATAAAGTGTGACTTTTATTTTTACTAGAAAACTTTGAGGAATATAGGAAAGGGCGGGGCTCTGTGGCCTCTTTAGCCTTGGGGACCTGATCATTTTCAATCCAAAAAACACAGAAGAGCTAAGTACTCAATGAAGTGTGACTTTCATTTTTACTAGAAAACTTTGAGGAATATAGGAAAGGGCTGGGCTCTGTGGCCTCTTTAGCCTTGGGGACCTGATCATTTTCAATCCAAAAAACACAGAAGACCTGAAAACAAAAACAAGACAGGTGTAGCCTGTTCTCCTAGAATCAGCCCTACATCTACCATTGATCCTCATTAAATCCTGCTTACTAGGAACCCAAGCAGCCCTGGAACCTGCTTATTCTAGAACCAGTGGCTTCCAGTACTTCTGGACAAGAAGACAATACAAAGTGGCCAGAGTTGGATTGTATTCTGATTCCTCAGCAGGTTCATTCAAGGGACATAGTGAAGGAGGGATGGTGAAAAATCACATTTATTTTTGAGCTTAGAGAATAGATTCTATTT